AAAGGAAGGTAAAACAAGTCCTGTCTGGAAGGTTGGTAGCAGTGGGAGGGGGAGGACATAAGGAAAGGGTATAGGAGGATGAATATGGTAGAAATATTACATACTCATGTATGAAAATGGAAAAATGAGACCTGTTGACACTATTCCAGGAATAGGGGGAGGGAGGATAAAGAATGGTGAAGGGGGTGAATTCAACTGTGATATATTATAAGCACTTTTGGTAAATGTCACAATGTACCCCCAGTGTAACAATAATAAAAAAGGGGGAAAAAACTTATTTAACCATAACACAATGACCCAAACCAGGGAGCTAACACAGATACAAGACTCTTATTTAAACTACAACCCTTATTTGAATTTCAGCCAATTTCTCCCTGAGGTCTGTGATCTTGACACTTTGGGTGAGGACTGGTGAGTTATTCCGTGGAATGTCTCTTGTTTTGTGTCATGATCATGAAAGACAAGGAAAAAAACTGATGGAGGCTCACAGACTGGAGAAGGGTAAGAAGACACGACTACTAAATGTAATTGTGGGATCCTGGATTGGTCCCTGGGACAGAGACGGGACGTTAGGAAGACTGTTGGGGAAATTCAAATATGGTCCCTAGTTAAGATTCTTGCACAGTGTCAATTTCCTGGGTTTGATAACTGTGCTATGCATGGTATGTAAGTTGTTGACATTAGGTGGGATCTGGGTGAAGAGGATACGGGAGCTGCTTGTGCTATTTTTGTAACTTTTCTGTAAGTCTAAAATTATTTCAGACAAAAAGTCTAAAAAGTAAGGCTGCTCTACCAATACATATTTATTTGAGTACTAATTATAACCGCATTTTTCTTTGAGAAGAGTCTTTTGAAATGTCCAAAAGAGCAATGACTTTTATCAGTGAAGGACACTTCCATTTTAAGCCAGTATCACAGAAGTTAGAGATTCTGACTCAGTAAGATGTTATTTGCCTTGAGTGTCAAGTTGACAGGGCTCGCTTCTGTGGCTTCGTAGTGCAGGCAGTCATCTCTGACAGAGCTTATAGATGGTACTGAGGTCTTGTGTAGTGACCTGGGGATTATGTTGCTAGGATTCTAGCTTCTGGTAAGCTTTGCCTTAGCAAACAAGGATGAGCAAATATTCAATCAAAAAATAGTCAGTTTTTGTTTTGCAGTGTTGGGCATTGAACCCAGTGTCTTGCACATGCTAGGCGAGCACTTTACTATTAAGTTGCATCCCCAGCCAAAAATAGTTCAATCTTAAACTAGTAAAAACTACTGTAACTATTAGTGCTAATACAGAATATACCAGCCCGAGGGCCAATTATTGCCTATGAGGATAGATTCATATCCATATGCCCAAACAACAGGTTTCACTTGACAAAATATCATTATGCCTATAATGTATGATGTTTAAAGATGTAGCATGAGGTTGTTTTATATGCATTCTTCTCCCAGTTCCCATCTCTTAGGAATGCATATGAGTGACATGAGTGTCTGTCCTCTGACTATGCTTGCTGCTATAATCTAAGCCAGAAAATAACTGTTACAAAACTACCCAAAATGCTGAGTATGGTGGAGATATGGGATGGGTATTGATCTGTCATAATAAAATAATGGCAACATTTATATCCTTCCTAGATAAAGGTGGCTGACATCACACAGTATGTCGACTATGGAGTGGAAGGTTCGAGACACCAAAATATTGTTGGTGCAGAATAAGTTGGCTATGAAAACAAAGGTGAATTTAATTTTAAAAGGGATGACCCTTTGTTTAATCTAAGGGACACTCACTAAAAATGCCAACCTAGATCAACAGCAAACTCTAATGTCAAGAAATCAGTATAGAATAGATTAAATGATACTTGGGAGGGAACTTTTGAAATAAATTGTGCCAAGCCGACAAGGCAATTAAGTCAAAAACAGCTTCATACCAAAGTGACATGAGACTCTTTAATGTAGCTAGAAACTGATCTACAGGCTTCACTGTTTATATTTCTGTCTGAAGATAGTGTGACCTTCATCACTGAACACTCGCATTCATGGAGTGATGAGCAAGGCACTTCAGCACAGTAGACATTCAGCCATCCAGCTCACCTTATTTTCACGACATTCCCTCATTATGAAGTGAGTAAGGGACATTGTGTCTATTGTACCGATTCTGAAGGCAAAGAACCATTACCTGGTAGAGTAGCTTGCGCTAATAAAATCCTTACAAAACAAAAAATAAAAGCTGCAGCCTAACACTCATCAAATGATTGCTTCAGTTATTTAACCACTCGTGGAAGAAGAAACAGTACACAGTTAAATTTCAGTGGTGTTTCAATTACACAGACTCAAGAGGGGCAGCAAATGCTGCAGTAACTATTGAGGTATGCTTTTTGTGCAGTGTTGATACGACAGTAGTACCACCTACACAGGTCAATTACCCTCAACTGAGTATTGCTTTCATGCGTACCGTGGATAAGAAACAATGCAAAAGAGAAATACAAAGCTTTTATGCAGGCATGAAAGTTTGATGAATATGTTATCTAAATGGAAAATTAAATAATTATTTGAAATGCTTTGTATATTTAAAATATGAAGGCTTTCATGAAAAATCTGAGCACGTAGGGATTATGCAAATTCTCTTCATCCTATGTGACTGGTCATCGAGATATTAACATAAAGCACGGATTATTTTTAAATCACTAGATACCGTGAGTACACAGCTTATTTAAATAATTAAGTGGTTCATTTATATTCACTCGCCATTATCTATTTAGTCTCTGAATTAAACATTTTCTAAGCTTTAAAGTGCAGTATGCATTTTATAAACAATCACCTTCCACATTATTTTCTTGAAGGGTTTGGTTTATGGCACTCTTGCCTTTAAACGGGAACAGTGACTTAAAAGAGAAATGGCTAGGAAGATCACACGTCTCCTCCGGCATTCTAGGATGCTGGGAAAGACAGACTCTGCGGTGAGTAAGGAACTCTGTGTCATAGAGGAAGCCATAGAGACAGTGATACTTAGCTTGAAGAACTAATCTGACACTCATGGCAACTGGATTTGGACATGTCCATTTGCGACTTGAGCTTGTAGTTTTAAGTAATAAACCTTAACTAAATAGAACCCTTTTGAAGAACTGCTGAAATAAGCACTTCATACATTCACTGAATTCACTTTTGCAGTACTGCATCATTTTTCATTTGTGTTATCTCTTTGGACTCTCCACGGTAATCATGGAAGTTAGGTAGAGAAAGAGTTATCCTTTTGTTAGAGATGGAATCGTTCATGGTTTGTGAGATTAAGGAGCCCAAGATCAGATACAGCAGTGGAACTAGAACTGTACCCCAGGTCTTCAACAACATATGCAAAGGGCCTACTGCAGTGCCTGGCCTTCTCTATGGACTGGATAAAAGATGCCACCAATTTTTCCCCCAACTAACCCAGAGCTTTTTTCTACCTCAAGGCAGTACCCAGTGCAGTAGATTGAAGTAGTACTCAAAACAACTATAGATGAAACACAAATGGTTCCAAAATGAGGAAAACAAAGTATGCCTTTTAGTCATGATATCTACTGCAAATCAAAGCTGTTCAGAGATTTTCAGTATCAGTAATTACCTTTATCTTTACCATAAGTTCCATTATTGAACTGGAATGGTCGGCAATGAAAACTAGCAATCACAAAATAAGTAAAAGTAACTTCTGAAGCATATGTTGAGCATCCCTAATCTGAAAATCCAAAAAGCTCCAATATTCAAAACTTTCTGAGCCTCAAGTGGAAACCTGACTTCTTCGTGTGACGGTCACAGTCAAAATGCAGGTGCACTAAAAATATCACATAAAATTATCTTCAGGCTACGTGTGCAGAAGTGTATATGAAATATAAATGAATTTCATGTTTAGACTTTGGCTCCATTCCCAAGATATTATGTGCATGAAAATATTCCCAAATACGAAAAATTCTGAAATCTGAAACATTTCTGTTCCCAAGCATTTCAGATCAGGTATACTCAATCTGTTGTATATCATTTGAGAAAGTGTATTCTGAGGAAATTATTATGTGAAGGAATATATCTCTAGTAACCAATGCAGCCATCAGTAAAAAATATCAATGAGATAAAAGTGGTCATGATGAGGGTAAAACAATATCAAGAAATTGAAAAGGTTCTTGTTAATCTTAACTCATTTTGATGTATTTTGAAAAAATGTCAAATACATCATAGCAAATCTTATTAATCAAACCAAGAATCCATTCCACTTTTTGCTTCTATGCTTTAATTTGTACCTCCTTATCCTTAATTTGAGGATAACCATGAATAAAATATGAAAACCAGTGTATTCTGTTGTTCGACAATCATGTATGTCCTATCCTACATGTAGCCTCATCCGCCCTCAGATTTAGTTTATAAATATTCAGGACTGACGACCTTGGCAGTAGAACTTCCCTTATAAAATACTCACAAATCTAGTCAATTAGGTGTTGAAGAAAAAATATAAGTGAACCTAGTTTTGTAGAGATGTTTAGGTCAAAGGCTCAAAATACAGCTTAACTAAAAATCTCCCAAATGCCATAATTTTTCTCCAGAATGGTGAGATTTTTTTTTAACCTTACACTCTCTGTCTGACTTTATTTATCTTCTGAAAGCCGAGTGGTCCCTGTCAAGTGCATCTTGATAATATGCACTTGATAATGTGCACTATACTACAATTTCTCTGGGTTAGATGAGGGTTTTGGTCAGTGTATTAAAAGCCTAAATCCTATACAAAAAGGTAAAGCATAGCAATGCTGCAATCCCTCACTCTTGCAAAAATTCTTGAATTTTTATCCTTTAAGTGTATCTATCTTGATAAATGGGCTTTGATGGAGTGAACTTTCCACTGGCTTCATTCCATAGTCTACATCTTGTCTCATAAAAGAAATAAAACTTAACCAATTTCATGCTGTTATTAATTTTACTCATTACATAACATTTCAAAAACACAGAAATCAACATATTTAAAGCATCATGTGCATTCAGATAGCACTCACCTTTAGAGAATCAAAACAGGCCACCACACGGCCATTTTCCACATGGCACACTCTGGGCGGATGAGCGAACCTGCACTCGGCGTCAGCTCGAGAGCAAGTTCCTCTCTGAAATTCTCTACAGACTTCTAAAGTCAGCCACTTGGTATCGCGAATCAGGGCAACATTGACAGCTGTCATATTGAAAGCAAATTATATCAAGTGCACCCTCTTTCGGACACTATGATAGGTTAGAGGAGTAAAAATAAACTCGAGCTAAATGTGAAGACAGTTGGCTGCTTTGGTGCAATGTCTGTTTGTTAGCACTTAGGTTTTTCTTTAAGTCAAATCTGATCTAGTCAAACAAAAAGCCACTTATGGAATCAAGGTTGTATCAGAATAACTAAAATCAAATTAGAGACCAACTCCTAAGAAGGCAACTGTAAAGGTTAAGATATTGAATGCTGGATTTTGTTCCTTTGCTGAATTTGCTTCAAATCACTGGCCAACTTTCAAAAGAGTTCTGTGCTGTCTAGTTGATGTTTTCAATTATTCTTACAAAAAACATATGCTGCTGGCTGCCCTTCAATTTGTGGAATGGTCTCAGAGCAGGGAAAGCAAAGTTTGTTTGGTTTTTTTCTCCCTATTTCTGAGCTTTAAAGAATAAGGTTGGGGAGGGTGTTACAACCTAAAAAAAAGTTTAGCTGCAAAATCAAGGGGAGGGAAAATGACTAAGAAAACTGAGAATCACAGGGGAAAAAATCAATGGACACGTTGCTGACAGCGAGCTACAAGCATACCAGGTTTTGTGGGGCGAGGAGCGGGGGAGGATGTGTGGGGAGGGGGTTTGGAAAGAGACAGCTCTAGAGGAGATTCCAAGCAGCAGAGTTTTCAGAAAAGGCACTTTTCAGAACCTGCAAGAAAAAGATAAATGCAATTAGCTAAATCACTACAGTGCTTCCGTTTCCAGCTCTAGATTTGGAAAGAAAAGCAACCATATCTTATATAAAACAGGAAGCGACTACAGACTGTCAGTGCAATGGAGTAGTCAGCTTTTGTCAATAAAAGGGGCATTTCCCAGTGTAACACTGTGCGGGGCAAAGGTAGCAACTGCTTAGACTTGCAGTTCAACACTGGGCAACCACCCAGTTTTTGAAATGATGGTTTATTTTTGCTCTCTTTAAGGTAGAATTCACTGTGGGGTCCACTGTGCAGAAAACAGCATAGCTTAACATAACTGCCCCTTACGTATTCATAATCCACTTGTGTGTCTCCAGTTTTTAGAGGCTATACTAAAACCCTGTCTTTAAAGTAACCTTGTTATGGTCTGACTAAAGGCGCGATTATCTGCTCACAAAATCCAGAACAGAGGAATTGCTAAGAAAATTCAGGTTGTTCTGAAAGGTAACTCGTGCATGTGTTAGAAATGGAGTCACTGATAATCACATAGAACAGTCATGACACAAGCACCTGGAGACTCACTGCATATTATTTAAGGTGGAAGATGGAAACGTAAAATGTGTATCAGATCAAAATGTTCTTTGAGAAGATCTGGGATTTTTTGGGGGGAGGGAACAGGTATGCTTCTTAGTGTCTATGAAGGAAAATTAGAACAACTGAGATTTCAGCATACACAAATAAGTGAGACAGGAAGCATGGTTCAGTAATACGGTAAATATTGCATGGCTTTAATGTTCTCAGTTTAACCCAGTGTCACCCAGCAACAGTGTCAATGTGGTTAAGATGTAAGAAAGGTTAATTTACTGGTAATAACACCATGAACACATACCGAAATAACACTGAGGCAAAAGTAAGCCCTGAGTATCTGACAAATCAACTAATTATTAACATCATCAGAAAGTGGAATTAAAGATCTTGAAAATATTTAATTTCAACTTTTGAAAAATATTTTCAGTAACTTTATGCAATCTTTGTCTTTTCTGTATTCATGAGGACATTCAATGTCACCTGATTTTTCAGCTATCATTAGGAAATTAAGTACCTACAAAATTCAGTTAAGCTTTTCTATTTGAGAGTCAAACACGTTTTCCTTTGAGCCACTCACCACGGAAATGTTTCTAAAGTGTGTTACAAGTAGCTTTGCCTTCTTACAAATATTGAACATAAATTGTCCTTTGGTTAAAGGCTTGGTTGGGATCGTTAACGTCTTGGGAAGTATGATAGTTTTCCTCCTCCTCTAGTAGACTGTTAATTGTCACTTCTACTGTCACTTCTTTCATTGCTGCAGTATCTGTCACTGTGAATTTTCTAGTATCCTTCTGGAAAAATGGTCAGTCATGAATGTCAAATGAGAGTTAATTGTTGAACTAGGGCTGAAGGGGACAGAGGTGAGCTTTCCCACAGAACGTCCATGCTGTTCCATGGGTCTTTCATAGCATGGTCCAGGTAGAACCATGCTCTGGAAAGTTAAGGTTGTGAGGCAAATTGCATCTAGAAAAATATCCATTAAAAATAGCCTGATGGGGAAACAGAAATCAAAACCACAGCGTGACACCACTTCACAACCACTAGAATAACTGTAATTAAAAAGGCGGAAACACTGGACTCTTCAGACATTGTGGGTGGGAATGTAAATAGTGCATTGCTGTGGTGTACAGTCTGACAGTTCCTGAGAATGTTAAAATTAGTCACCATGCGACCTAGCACTTCCATGCTTCGGTGGATATCTAAAATAACTGAAAACAAGAATCAAGCACATTCTTATTATTCACAAGAGCCAACTGTAGGAACAACCCAAGGGTCGATCAACAGAGGAATGGATAAAGAAAATGCAAGGTGTCCACACAATGGAATATTATCCTGCTATTAATAGGAATGAAATACAGATGCATACTACAACATGGGTGAACCTTGGGAATGTTATGGTAAATGAAATAAGCCAGTCACCAAAAGCCACATATTGCATGGACCCATTTGTGTGAAATTTCCAGAATAGCCAAACCCACAAAGGCAGAAAATAGATGAATGGTTTCCTAGAACTAGTGGGAGGGGAAAAGGGACAGTGACTGTTTAATGGGTGTGGAGGTCTCTTGTAGAAGTGATGAAAATGTTCTGGAATTAAATAGTGGTGATGATTACACAATTTTTTTACACAATTTTTAAATATTCATTGAATCACACACCTTAAATGAACTGGATAGTATGTGAATTAGTCCTCATAAAGGCTGTTATATTTTTAAAAGTCTAAAGAGACATGACAACCAAAAAGTCTGATGAGTGATGTGATTGGCTACCGAAAGCTTTCTTAGATTTTCCTTAGCCATAAAATTTCTTAGTAGTATTAGTTACTAAGTTAAATTTCAGAGTAAAACAGTTTTCACAGTGTAACTGGCTTAGTGTGTTATGGAAAGTACATTGAAAGAGTGTGTAAGTTTATATTTACACTTAATCCTACAACTAAATTATATAGGCTGCCTGAACACATGTGAAAGAAAAACAAGATTTGCTCAGAACATAAACAGTAAAGATCTGGAGAAAGACTTTTCTACAGAGGCCCATCAAGTATAGAAACAGATTATAAATAATAAGTTTGAATTTTGAACTTTTACCAATGAAAAATGCAAACAGGAACTGGCTTCTGGCCATGCATTTTATGAAATGTCAGGAGTGGGAGAAGGAGGATTTTGTTTTGTTTTGTTTTGGCCTGTAACCTTGGATGGGACTCTGGCCAATTCCTCAACTCAGTTCTCGCCAGCACGTCTTCCTTCTGACTGGAAATATTTGGGGAGCTGGCTCAGAAGAAACTGGGTGCCAAAGTGAAGGAGCTGGTGTGAGGATGGGGCACAGCCTGCATGCAGCTCTGCTTATCTGTGTATAAAAGACAGGAAGTGGTGCCAGTTTTCCCGGTGTTCTTAAGCATATCGACTTTGTTTTGGGAACAGTATAGCTTTAGCTTCCCTGTCTTAGATTTGAGTGATAGGAATACAGTTTTGTTTTTATGACTTACAGTCCTCCGATAAAGAACATGAAAAGGCACCATTTCTTAGTGTATTTAGGGAGAAGGTGCTAGGGTGTTTTGTTTTTGTTTTTTTGCTTTTGGAGGTAGAGGGGTTTGAACTCAGGCCTTTGCACTTGCTAAGTAGACATTCTACCATTGAACCATGCCCCCAGCCCTTTTTGGTCTGGTTATTTTTGAGAAAGGGTGCCCCTTTTGCTGATTTTAGACTTCCCACAGTAGCTGGGGTGAAAAGCATGTTCCACCACCCTTGGGTTTTTTCTATTGAGATGGTGTCTCACTAACTTTTTGCCCAGGCTTGTCTCAAACCACATTCCTAAACTTAGCCTCCTAAGTAGCTAGGAGCATCTGTTTTTTGGTTTTTTTCTTTTTTGTAGTACTGGGGTTTGAACACAGGGCCTACACTTTGAGCCCCTCCACCAGCCCTTTTCTGTGATGGCTTTTTTTTTTAGATAGGTTCTCACGAACTATTTACCCCGGCTGGCTTTGAACCTTGATCCTCCTGATCTCTGCCTCCTGAATAGCTAGGATTACAGGCGTGAGCCACCGGCGCCCCGATGCATCTGGCTTTTTAGTGCACATTTTTACTTTATTGTCTTTTCAGTTTACACATTCTGGTACTGCATTGATCTTTGGATCTCTCAAAAATACCCTAGTCCTTTGTTGTTGTTCTTTTTTCAGTGCTGGGGATCAAACCCAGGGCCTTAACTGCACACTATCTCAAAAATACTCTAAAGCTTGAGTGATAAATACACTGATGAAGGAAACAAAGTTCACTGAAGCGAAATGACTTATTTGATCTTACTAAGCTTTAAGTGGTAGAACCATGATTCCAGGCAAGAACTTCTGACTGCAAATCTCCTACACAGATCCCAGCAGACAAATGTAGGAGAGAACACTTCTTATCTCCCTTGGGAATTGTAAACAAGGAAAGCCAGGCATTTTTGCAGAGTACTTGTGGTTCCTTCTCCAGACTGCTTTCTGAGTTGGGGTCAAGCCAACACTGATCCTATACCTACTATGTGCCAGGCACTCTTCTAGATACTGAACAAGACTTGATATGGTCCCTTTCCTTACTCTTGTGGAAAGTCCTATGTTCATTTAAATAGAGACGTAATAAGGCACAGACAAGTGGGATGATTATCAGAGGTATTGTGACTTAAACACAAGCCTCTAATTTGTCGTGAATAGAACACTAAGTACTATGACTTAGTACTCTTGAACCCACACTCACACACTATTGCACAGAAGTGAGTAATCAAGAGAAATAACCTCAGAATTACTCACACTAACTTGTACTGCTGTCTGGATTCCTGGTGGAGAGGCACTACTGTTCTCATCTTATAGATGGGGAAATGGAGTGGAGAAAGCTTAAGTAATTCAACTTGCACAGCTTCACATAGCTAGGAGGTGATCAAATCATAGTTCATGAAGTCGGACTCCAGAGCCCACCCTCCTTACCATGTCACAATTCTGTGTCCCTTAAGGCACAGTTCACAATCTGTCACTCTAGCTGACTTCATTTCCCTTCCTTAACTTAGCTGTTATTAGAGCATGAACTCTTTGCGAGAAGAGATCATGTCTTAGTCTGCTGGCTTCTATCTAACCAGGGAGACTCAAGGGTTACAGCACTCCCAAGGAGTCCTGTTTTGAAAGGTATTAACATTCCAGATTGGACTGTGCTACAAAGGAGTTTCATCAGTGCATACTTTCTAGA